TGGGGGTAGGTGGCAGCAGGGCTATCTCTTCCCAGACTTGCGTGGGCCCCTCTGCTCCCCAGCTCACCTGGTCGAGAAGATGGAGTCGGTTGACGTAAGCCTGCTCTGTCTCCAGTAGCTCCAGAGCGATTTTCTTTTCCTCTGGTTCCTGCATGGGGAGAAGGGCTCAATCTCATGTGCTGCAACGCAAGCTTTCCCCACCAGCCCGAGGGGATGCAGCTCTGTTCCCCAGTGTTCACAGCCCACATCAAACTGGACCTCGCTCCGGGTGAGGGCAAAAGAAGGACCTCAACAAAGCACGTGGTAAAAACGAGGGTGAAAACAAAGCATTTTTGGGGCTGTCGGGAAGTCTGGCTCACGTCCTCCGAGGTCAACCCTTTCTCTGTGCCTGTTTCTCCCTGAGCAATACAGGGCTAGCGATCCCGAGAAGTGGGGCAGGGTGGGGCGGGTTAACCCCATGGTCTGCAATTGCACCAAGGCCTCCGAATGCAGTCCTGCAGAAACGCGTCTGCAGTCAGCAAAGGGCAACACGAGGATGCCCTGGGATGGACCTGGCTGGGCCCACCTGTGCATCTGACCCCCAGGGCATAGTTATATCGGAGCTGGAAGAGACAAGGTCTGCTTAGATCTATCTGACTATGGGGAATTGGTGCCCGAAGCATCGGGGAAGTTGCCACTTCTCTGCAACCCCACGCACCGGCCCTTGCAGGACAGGGGACTTGCTCAGGTCCAGTAGAGACCTCAGCTCAGATCCAGCCGACGCGACTCCCTGCCTGAGCGTGGGCACCTGCCACCCTCCTCTGAGCCGCCTCCAGAGCTTACCTCGCTGCCAGGCTCGAGGCCTGGGTCCTGCTGCCTCCTCCAGTTGTCCCCACTGATCTTGTGTCGGAAAGAACGTAGGCATTTGAAGCTGAGCCCCCGCTGACCCTGCTGTTCCTCCTCTTCCTCCCCCTCATTCTCCTGCTCCGCTTGGTGCCTGGCAGCCATCTGGGAGAGGCTTTGGCTGGCAGGGGACGCTGGAAGCTGCTGGGGCTGGCTGGTTGCAGGAGTAATCTGGCCGTGTGGAGCCTGCTTGTCCCACCAGGCAAATTTGCCAGCCCTGCCACGGAGGAATCGGCGTGATCAGCTCACCCATTCCCCCAGCACAGCACGGCCGACCCAGCTCCCGGGCCCAGGTTAAAGCCACGGTCCTCGAGCGAAGGCGATAAGACACAGCAGCACCCCAGCGCTGATGCTGCTTTGCTCCACTACAACCCTGCTGATACCAGGGTCTGAAAGCCCACACATCCTCCAAGGGGGCCAGGATCCAGCCTCTCCTCTCCCAGTGCCTCCCGCTGATGTGGTCAGTCCCTGTCTTGCTCTAGAAAAGCACGACTCTGCCATTTATCCCACCCACAGCCATTTAGTTCTCGAAGAGTAGCCCTGCCCTTTGCGGTGCTGGCACAGCTCTGGCTTTCTGCCCACTGCCACCGCGGAGCCAAAGCGGGGAGCCAGCAGCCTTGGGCACGAGGCTTTAACAGCCAAATAGCCAAGAGGTGTCAGCCAAGAGGAGGCTTTGTGTAGGTGGATTTGCAGAAGGGTAGTTTTTTGGTGGTTTTCTCTCTTCCCTTTTCTGGCAAAGACAAGGAAAACAGGTCCAGAGCAGGCATGGGGGAGAAGCCACACAGGGCACAGGCCGTGAAGTTGACAGCAAGTGAGTTTGTCATCCGGGAGCTGGTCCCTGTGGTAAATTGCTCTGGGCAGAAACTGGAAAGACATCCACCGGTAGCCTGCAGACAGGAGTGGGATGAGGAGGAGGAGGGGAAAACCGGGACGAAACTGGACATAAAACTGCAAAGTTGAGGATAGGAGATGACCTGAGTGGCAGACACTCATCTGAAGAGGATAACGGGTCCATCCCCACGCTGATAAGCACACATCTGTGAGCTCGGGAGTGCATCCACAGCCATGCACGCATCTCCTCCTGTCCATGGGGGCAGGCATAACACTTCACGTGACAGAGAGGCTTCATCCGTCCCTTCTGGTGCCTCCCAGACCTGTGCCAGCCTAAACCCACTGCCGAGATCTGACAGGGAGCTTCTCTCTTTCTGTTTGTGCTGACTTGGGCTAAACTGTTTTCTGTTCCAGAAAACTCGTTCCCAGGTTCCTCAGGTTCCTCTGAAAGTCGTAAGTTACTTTTATTTCCTCTAAATCAAACTCACGCTTCTCGATAAACAACAAACACATCACAGCAGCAAAATGGAGGCAGATCAAACACCACGAACGGTTCCAACACAACAACATCACAGGCCAAATTTCACCTGTGGGACCATGGGGACAACCACGCTGCTCCGGAGCCATCCAGAGCACAAAGACCGGGGCAAAGCACGCAGCGGAGATGCAGGCAAAGTTTCCGGAGCAGAAGGAAATCTCATGCCTGACCACCTTTAGGAAGTGCTGCAAAACTCATCTGCCCAACCACCCAGCCCCATTAAGGCTCACTGAGAACACCTCACTGATACAAGGAAAGGTAAGATTCAGTATCCCGATTCAACAGATGGGGAAAACTGAGGCACGGATCACAACGATGACTCACCCCGAACCTCAGAATTACTTCTACACCAGGGGCAAGGCAGATCCCCTTGCTCCGACCCTGGCACACGCTGTCTGTGGGTCCCAGCTCATGCTCCAAGTGAAGGCGCTGTTTTACAGGGCTGCCACGCAGCCCAAAAGGAACTTGCTCTCCCCCTTAACATGGTTCTTTCTCTTCTCTTTTCCTAGGAGCCATATCATTGCAAACACTGGATAGTCTAAGGCTGGTGCCTGAGGCTCAGATCCTCCCAGATGCTCGAGCAGTTAATTCCCAGTGAAGACCCCTGCCTACGTATTTGCAAACCAAACTCCTTTTCCCCAGCAGCAGGAGAAAAAGCCTTCACCAGCCAGGCTGACTGCAAAAGCGCTGTGTGCGGAGGGAACAAGCATGCCACAACCTAACCCTGAGCCAGGCACAGAAACCTCCAGCAAAGTCACATCCCACTGAGGTTTTCAGATTTCTGTCCATGACCCGCAGCAGGAGGAAGACACTAGGGCAGATCACCTAGTTATCTTCTCCACGGCCTCCAAACCACCTCCACAGCGGGTTTCTTCCTTCCAAAACCCATGCCACGTGGAGCCCTAACACACCCGCAGCGCCCAGGACGCTCCCTCCTTACCAGTGCTCTTCAAACACAGCCACCAGATTCAACACGCTCCGTTGATTATCGGCCTCTCCCTCCATGGCACTGGCTGGACCCGCCGGGAGCGGGTCCCGGGTGTAAAGGAGCTGCAGGGGCGGGTGCTGATGGCTGCGGCTCCCTTCTTCTCTTCCCCCTCTCTGCTTCGAGGTGTTTCTGGGACCCTGGATGTTGTTTAGGGAGGAGGATTTGCACAAGGCAAAGACCATCTGCTGTCCTTCTTTCTGTGACAGGAGAGCTTGTCTCTGGGTTGGCCTCAAAAGGAAAAGGAAAGAGGAAGCGCAGCAGGTTGCAAGTAGGAGAAACGCTGAGAAAACACTGGGAACGTGTTCATTTTGGAGGGACCTTGCCGTCTGCCCCAAACTGGCGGCATAACCAAGCCCAGAGCAGCAGCAGGGACGGTGCGAGGGCCCAAGCTGGGCAGGAGGCCTGACCTGCTGCACGCGCCTGCCTGCTGGGAGCCCCCAGCAATGGGGTGGGCTGCGCCCCACCACGCGTTGGGGCCCGGGGTGCCCCTCGCGGGCTGCGCGCGAGGCTGAACAGTCGTGCGGCTAGGAGGGGCCGTGCATGGCCTGGAAGGGACCTGCTGTGAAGGAGGGAGGGAACGGGTGAGAGGCTTGCCAGCC